CTCTGTGAATAGATGTCGATCGGGGAGAATTTTAAACGATTCGTGGTCGGTTTCAATCGCATAAACGCCATTTCAAACGGTATAGAAACAATACTAAATTGGGGCATTTGCAAGAGTAATTTTGCAGATGACAAAGAGCTTGATCATAGCAGATGTCCGTTTTAATGAAGGAGGTCATTACCGATACCCTATTCGACGTTGCCAGGACGAATTTCTCCATGAAATATTGAAAAACGTTTATTTGTGTTTACGTCTGATTTAAATTGTATTTCTGTTTTTAATTTAAGTTAGTTTGTTTGGGCTCGGTGCCACGGGGAAGGAATGTTTACGCCTCCCGTTGCTGTGGGAACCAAATGTTAACGCTTTCGGTTGCTATCAGCACCAGTGTTTTCAGGTCGCCGTTACTACGGCGATTTGTTTTGCATTTTTCGTTACTAACTTTACTAACATCACTAAATCATTAGAATTGATTTTAAAAAAATAAAAACTAATGAATTTTTGATCTCGGTTAATTTGATCTATATTAAAATAAGTATGTTGTAATTAATATAACGGCAGTAATACATGTAGTTTGAATAAAAAGTTGAGTATCTGTTTCTTTTGTTTTCGACTGTACTCGATGCTACCCGACGAAAATCTGGACAGTGGGGATCGCATAGCGTAGAGTAGAGTAGCGTTGCATGGCATCGGGCAGATGTGCATGGGGTAATACAATTTTATGGAAAATTGGACTTTGGATTTGCGTCGGGTAGCATCGGGTAAGTGTGTCCCGGTTTAAGGATTGCCTCACACAGTGTGAAACATGTTTCAAATCTGACTAAATTTCAATTGTGCTCACTCTTTTATTACGTTCATTCAGTTTAGTTAAAACTATGTTTTTTCTTATTTTTGTTTGAATAAAAAGTTGAGTGTCCGGTTCTTTTGTTTTCGACGAAAATCTGGACAGTGGGGATCGCATAGCGTAGAGTAGAGTAGCGTTGCATGGCATCGGGCAGATGTGCATGGGGTAATACAATTTTATGGAAAATTGGACTTTGGATTTGCGTCGGGTGGCATCGGGTAGCGTCGCATAGCGTTGATCGGGTGTGTCCCGGCTTAAGGATTGACTCACACAGTGTGAAACATGTTTCAAATCTGACTAAATTTCAATTGTGCTCACTCTTTTATTACGTTCATTCAGTTTAGTTAAAACTATGTTTTTCTTATTTATTGATGTTCATTTTCTGTTAATATAATAAATCTTACACTTAGTAGAGGAATCGATTATTCTTTATCACGTTTAAACCCTTTACTCAACCGGCACTTATTTCGGTGTTAGTGCCCGGTCTCGGAGCGTAGAAGTACAACTTAGAAACAAAATTATCCCGCTGACGTATGCAAACAAAATCAAACTTTGTTTTCCTATATTCATAAAATATAATGTATTCATCAGCACTTGCTTCAAAATATATCATTTAGCATATTGAAAACCATTTTTGAGACTATATTTTATCGGGAAATTCCTTGTATTTTCTGAAGTTATGAACAATAGTGAACAGTAGGTTTTAGTAGAAGTGGCCTTGTTTTCGAAGGGAAGCTGTTTAATATCCAATCTGAGTTTAAATATTCCAGAACAACTTCCTTCCTCTTCAATCAAGGAACATCTTCGTTGCTTCGTCGAGTGGATGAGACCCAACTAAACGGTAATTTTCATCTCTTCCTCCCAAGAGATCGTATAATTATTGTAACAGTATTAATTTTCGTTGAGGGACTTACAATCGATTCGACACCAACAGGTTATCTTTATGAAAACATACTTTTCTAATAACTTTTAAGTTACATTTAAAACATAAACTGACGGAATTGGTAAGTAGCAATAATTTAAAAAATGATTTTCTTTTGGTAGAAATCGTATAACGGCGAAGTTTTAAAACGGTTTATTTTATTCATAAATGTTAATGATACAATAATTGACTTGTATTACCAATTGCATAAGATATACAAAATCTAGGAAGTATCGAACTAGAGGATATAAGAAAAAAGTAATAAAGAATCGAGTGGATCGAAGTCAAGTGGTTAGAGCAGCGGCGTATTGAGCCGAAGGTGATGGGTTCGAATCCAGCTCGTGGACCAACATTTCAACGAAAAACCTTACATTATAAGATTAATTAATTGAAAAAAGTAATTTGGTCAATAGACCACTACATATAATGGATTTAATAAGTAAAACGAAGTATAACTTCACTAACAGCTCCATGTGGCCACTTCATTTGTCGCCGAGAACCGAATCCTGATTACACGACATTTGAAAAATGGCAAAATGGAGGGAAAATTCGAAAGGTTGTAGGCTGAGATGAGGAGTTGATGTCCGAATGGATCGAAGTCACGATAGCTCAAGTGGTTAGAGCAACGTATTGAGCCGAAGGCCGTGGGTTCGAATCCAGCTCGTGGTACGAACTTTTTCATTTCAATCAAAAACCTTACATAATAAGATAAATTAATTGAAAGAAGTCATTTGGTCAGTAGACCACTATATATAATGGATTTAGTAATAGAAAATATTAGAAATGATAAATGATGGAGTGAGTGTGGTGTTCAATACTTTTTAAAAGGATAGTTCCTACTCACAGTAAGTTGTTTTGCAACGATCCGGATTTCAAGCCTTTTAGCTCATCATCAGGTTGTGGAAGTCCTTCAACCTGATGATGAGCTCAAAGGCTCGAAATCCGGATCGTTGCAAAACAACTTACTGTGAGTAGGAACTATCCTTTTAAAAAGTATAGAAAATATTATTTTTGCACAATTCGAAGTTCCCAATTCGAATACGTGAATGTCAAAATCCTTGATTAAAGTTGAAAATATTTACATTTGAACTGTCCTCCTGTGGTAAGCGCTGTTTTAACATAATAATCCCAGCAGATATAATTTAAGCGCGGGTATGCAAAATTAGAAAAAAAATACCGTAGAGTATAAACGGATTACTGCAAACGTGGTTTGTAATCCTTGCAAAATCCATGCCAATAAACCATGAAACGTGTAAGATAAGTGATAAAATGTGTTAATTACGACGGTTTGAGCTGCCCCCTTTTACCTGATTATTGATTTAATAATCAAGTAATATTCAGCAGTAAAGAGTTTTTTGATTCTTTCTATGGAATATTTTATACGTCTAAAAAGGATTTATTATTTGTTTTGTATATATTTTGTGTGAGTGTGTGTGTATGTATGTATGTATGTGTGTGTGTGTGTGTGTGTGTGTGTGTGTGTGTGTGTGTGTGTGTGTGTGTGAGAGAGAGAGAGAGAGAGAGAGAGAGATAGAGAGAGAGAGAGATAGAGAGAGAGAGTGAGAAAGTGAGAGAAAGATGTTCTTATGTAAATGCTTTATTGGTCGTTGGTTTTTAAAAGAAAATATATTTTGTCTGGCAAATTTTAAATTTCCTTTGCCTTTGCCTTCCTCGTAATCGAGGTAATCAAATGTTTTAATGTTATCGGGCTTATCACTGCCACACAGTTTATAGAAGTTGTAAGGTTTATTCTGTGCAAGTATGTTTCACAGATGTGATTCGTTCGGGTCCAAGATTTTGTCGAAATCTGTCAAACAGATTGTTGCAGTTTTTGTCGCAGAGAACCATCGGGTTAGGCCTAAATCGGGGAAAAAGGATTTATAGACTTTTACCGCCGTCCCTCTGTTATACCAGATAGCCAACCATTGGTTGTTCAAAATGCGTACTCGGCCACTTGTTTGGTGGGTAGATCAATTAGTCATTAAGGAGAATGACAAGTTTCTGCACTACAGGATAGAGTCGCGTGTACTTCACGTTTCTTATTTTACAGACAGTTAGGTAGCAGCTCAGGTATGTTTAGCTTAATTACAGATAATTCGCAAGGCTTGTCTTTCGGTGAACTTCGCTGGCTTTTTAAGCTCAGAGGTGATCTTTTGTATCTGAATGGTGCTCCCTTTCGGACTCTGGGAAATGAAAGGTTTCCTCTATGTAATTCAGGTGTTAGAAAGGAAATAGTTCATTTTTTGGCTGAATGCACTATTTTGCCAGAGATCCGCCGTTTACACTTGAATTATTCTGTAATTGCAAAAGACCAGCTTATTGTTCTATTTAAGTGTAAGTTTAGGAATTTAATTAAATATGCTTGACAAGCCTGGCACTTAGTGGTGGAATTAATTTTTTAATGAATCTTTGGTTTTTTCTTTTATCTTCATTGTGTTTTCCTTATTAACTAGTTCTTACTTTTTCCTTTGTAAAAAAAGGCACTATCAGTTCTTTATATTATCCAGCGACCTCCGGCAGACGGATTTTCTTTTTCCATGCTGTACAGTGCTTTGTTTCTCTTATTGAATTGTGTTTAATTGTTATGTACTATAAAAATAATAAAGTATATTATTATTGTGTGGTGTTTAGTGACCGTTAGTTAATGATTATTTAGAGATCGTGAGATGCGATCTGGTGTGACGTAGGTTTTAGAAAAAACATTTTCTTTATCGTGCCAACGTTTCGGTCTTTATTGAGATCATCTTCAGGGCTCAAAGTGTTTGTTTTCTGCGTAGTTGTGTCATTATTGTACGTCGTGTTGTCACACAAGACCGCATCTCACGATCTTCAAATAATAATAATTATTATTATTATTATAGTCATTATTAAGGATACTGTTATGTAAAAAACCACTTTGTTGTGCAAAACTCAGTCATACGCCATATTTACTATTTGAATTTAGGTAGCCGTACTTTGAGTTAGGGTGGAAACGCTCTACCAGCATGATTTAAGACTGCTGTTCTGTGGTATTAGGGAGGCCAGTACGCTGAAAGAGCGTATTTTTCGTCCGTAGAAATAGAGACTTGTCTGGTTATTGATATCGTTTTTCGATCTTGACCAGGGTCGTAGTAGGGGCAACATATGACTGAGCAGTTTGGAATGGATCAGCTTTTGCATATCTTGAACTATCTTTAACGAGATTTCTACTGTTAACAGTATTTCTATATCAATTAAAATTGAAGTTGAAAGACATACCTTTCCGACGAAAGGAAGACCTGGTTTGTACCTCCTCCGCATGTCCCTCGAGAATCTCAGCTCGACAAAATGTTCCTCTGCGATCGGCAGTTCCGGGGCGACCGGATCCTTGCTCCCCCGGGTGAGAGAAACATTGATTTCCGTTTTGAAAACTGCCTCTTCCACTTCGGCCTCCAGGCGCCAAAGACCGAGCCTCGCTTCCGGAGATATGACTGCTTCGAAGGACTTCACGCCTTGAACAACAACAAAGTGATATTTAAAATTTTTGCACTTTTCTATGCATTTTATAAAGTAACAGCATTAAACAGAGAGATAAAATTATTAGTTTAAGCCCAAATATCAATTAAGCTAAATAAAACTAATGAAACATAAAGAATTTTTTTAGTGCTCTAACATTAATATACTGAGATGCAAAAATAGTGGCGACCCTTATATCTTTTTAATTATCTCTTCGACAATCTTCCATTGAATATCTTACAACAATATTTAGTCCGTTTCAAAGGATTACAGGTGACTAAAACATAGATAAAATCTCCCACTTGTGATAACAATTGGCTTTTGTAAATAAATCTATGAATAGCAATCTTTTCATAGTTGCTTTTTCTATAAACTTTTTTTCTATTAATATTAACTTTTTAATTATTTTTAACAGCTTATTCTTAATTATATAATTACTCAATTAATTATACACAATTTTTTCGAAATGAAAGATCTGTGTCACAGGCAGGATTCCAACCCACGAGTTTGGCTAAATATACCGCTGCTCTACCACTTGACCTACCGTGACAATTGGAAAAAACGGGGAGTCGAAATGAGAAGTTTGTGGCATGGGCGATCGAAGTCGCGGTAGCTCAATTGGTAGAGCGGCGTATTTGGCCGCAGGTCGTGGGTTCGAATCCCGCCTGATTCAGATTTTTCATTTCGAAAAAATTATGATTAATTTCTTTCTAACGTTCCGGTGGTTTGATTTTTTAAGATAGAGCATTTTTCAGTCTCAAATTTGTTTGAATGTTGGTTTTAAGTGATACAGATTCAGCTGTAATTGGAAGATGGAAGAACTCAAAAAGTATCTGGCCAGGGCTTAACATTCTCAGAACAACTACCAAGATACTAGAGAAGAAGGCTGGGATCAGGTCGCCATCGTGTCATCTCAGAGTGATAATCGTCTTATTGTTTCGAATGTACTTTGTAATCAACTTTCAACGGCTGTTGAGATCAAGCAACGACTTCGACAAGTTAAAAATATTAATGCCAGTTTACTGTGGCGAAGACTTTCAGAAGATGGATTGTGAGAAGGCCTACCACTGGTCCCGAACTTCTGACATGCACAAAACAACTCTGTTAATTGGCAGCAATTGGCCTGAGCAAGCACTAAAATCTTGTTTGTGGATGTGTCAAGATTTTGGTTGAAGTCTTCTGATGCCTGAGAGATGGTTTGAAGGGGAGCGATAATTCCCCGCAACGTTTTCACTCCTGAGAAGCTTTGGGCAGGCCTTTATATGGAATATCGCACAAACATGATCTTCATCGAGGGTTTACCAACAGCCGCGCGATATTTCGAAGATGCGATATCAGAAGAAGTGTTTCCTTACATGGCACACATTGGCGACTGCTTTATTTTTATGCATGACTTCACACAGCTAGGATCGTTGGTGACTATTTGGAACGGGCTTCAATTCTATGTTTGGCGTGGTCAGCTGTACCCATACTTAAAACCTTTGAGTCGAGTTATCAAAGAGGATCAAAAGTCACCAAGTAATGCCAGAGAATATGCAGGAATTGTGAATGGCACTGTTGGAGGAGTATGAAAATGTTCCACAGCACTACGTTCAAAACTTCATTCAAAATCGATGCCACGTCGAATGCAAGCTAATCAACGCAAGACGAGAAGTACCCAATAAACAACTAAACTTAAAAAATTTAATGCTTACGATTATTTATTAAAAAAAAGGGGTGGCCATTTTTTTGCCTCTCAGCGTAAAATAAATAGGTAAAAATAATCTAAGCGCTAGAAAATATGGTATAATGATAAATTGGTAAATAACTTTATTATATATTATTGATTCTTTCGCCCATTCTTATTTAATAAATGGACATCTCATAGAAAGAAGTACTATCATTAAGGACTTAGGGATTGTTTTGCTTTGATCTATCTTTCATAGTTACATTGATTAAATTCAATAGAGTTTATCAGTTGTTTGGATTTTAAATTTATAAGAAGGACAACTATAAATTTTCCAGATATTAAAATATTGTTCATCTTCAGACTGAATAATAGGCTTTTAGTCAAATTTGATACATTAGATAACCTGCTGAAATACTGACCTGGGTTCAGAAGTCACCCTTTATATTTTTTAGATATTTTTGTATATTTATATTTTTTCAAAATATTGTTATGACAATTATATCTTGCATTTTGTGTTATATATACATGCAAAGGGTTAAGGGTTTGTATATAAATAAATTATCCGGATGAACAAGGGTACAAAAACATGGCAAATCGACTTCGCATTCATGCATTACAGACGACTGGAGTAAAACCCGAAATGAGCCAGCTTTTATGACATTAGATCGGTGGGTTTGCGACTTGGCAGCACGTGTGCAACCCGTCCCATAAAAGGAAGACTTCATCCACACCTCCCTAAATTTTATCACCGGCAGTTTCCTCAAAACCCTAGGCACCAACGGAACGTCTGCACGGTTGGGGTCATAACCGAACATCTAACGACACAAGCTGACGACAGCCATGCGGACCTGTTTGAAATTAAATCGCCCAAAATAGGTGTAATTTCAACGACAAGAAACGTTCGTTTTTCTCTTTCGCCAAGCTTCAAATTAAACCACCTGTTCCTCTTTGAGTTTACCTTCAGATGTTTAGCTCGTTAGCTGTAACACGGGACGTAAATTACACACACAGCACATATAATTACTTACTAAATGGCTAATCATCCTTTCTCTTAGGTCAGGTTTATTTGATTTGGACCACTAGGCAATTGTCTTACACAGACTTGCCTAACATAAATATAAAAATAACATTGTTTTTATAACATCCTTAACCTTAACTGTTAAATTTGAACAAACATTGCATATAAACCGTTTAGATATTAGGCAGGTTCCTATATGCATTGCTAACATAAAGTCTTACATCTAAAAAAAGATGATTTGAATTTGATGATGATGAAAAGAAAAAATCTCACTACTTTTCGGATCAATAAGCTAGTTATAAGCTCTAATAAAGAGAGAATTCAAGCAAAATTGAATCACGAAATTGTTGAGAAACTGATGTCTGTATATTTTTCTAAAACGTCTGAACCTCATTCCCACTCTCAATCAAAGGATGTTATATAAATATTTGCTGTTGAAAATGAATATACATGTCAATAGTAACCTCTCTTATACTGAGATTGAATTTAGTCGGACAGGACTCTTCGGAAGAGAAAAGAACTTTGGCAAGAAGATACTGAAGATAGTGAACAACAGCATTGATACCCCGGAGATGTTGTCCTGCATGGGTATCAGGATCCCCCAGAGTCTACTCTGCTCCCCTGAACTTTACTGTGTTTCTCAACATATGAATGAATTATGAGTTGGAATTTTGTCTTTCTCGGATAGTTCGGCACATTAATCGATATGAAGATGTCGCGGACCCTTTCTTTGGCTGCTTTCCGGTTTTCAAAAAGAATGTTTCGCTAGAGTTAAAAGGGGGATTCACTGAGCCTAGTTTTTAATTTTTTAGGTATTTAAGTTTTTCCTTAGTCACTAAATTTAATGATATCGATTGCAGTTTTATTGTTATTTCATCAATTCATGGCTAATTATTTTTATCTACTGTTAAATTTTTATGTACTTAATTGGTGTGCATGCTTTTGGATTTTTGACTGTTCTGCATTGGGTCATTTGACCATTGTGAACTGCAATAAAATAAAATAAATAAATACAATTTTATTACATAGGTTTTATTAATATCATGGACTACAGTACTAATAGTATACTGTCAGAGTCCATTATAAAATTACACAATTGAAAACCAAGTGACACATAAAAAATATATATAGGGCGAGTTTAGCTTCTGCCACTTATTTTTTTATTGTATTAAGTGTGTTTCTCGTCAAACAAACTTAATTCTATAATTTTGTAAGTAATAGTTTAAAATAACTAAACTCATATTGTAATAGATGATGGGGTTTGGTCTGCGAGTTGGCGAACTCATGTTGAACCGGCACACGGGCACTACTGGGTCTGTCTTCACTCGCGGGTTTTTTGTTTGAGTTATTCAAACGCGTTTCGGCATTACGCCATCTTCAGTGAAAAACTGTCTGTCATTCAGTCTGAGTGGGGTTTATATATTGTTGCGTACGTCGCTTGTCGCTGGGGGCGTTGCGTTAGGGGGCGTGGTCTCCGTGCTCGTTGGTCGGTCTTGGTGGCGGTTATTTTCATTGTCAGTTATTATTTGTGCGTTGTCGGTTTTTTGTTTTTTCCTGGTGTTGGTTGCGATGTTTTGTTCTTCTGAACGTTTTCGTTTTTTGTTAT